CCCCCCCCCGCCCCTTCTCCTCCTCCTCCCCACCGTTTGGTTTAGGACTGCGCTTCCTCCCTTCCCCTCTGGGTGAGGCCACCGACAGGCAGGTGCTCCGGGCTGGGAAACTTAGCTCCAGCTCTAACTAAAGCGTTAAAGCCTGGAGAAGAGCGGCAGTTGGAGCATGGGCAGTGGGTAGAGTTGCCTTGGGTGTAGACGGCGATTGTGTTCTGGAGCGAAATGGATTAATTGTGTTCACGTGGTCTGGCGCTGTCTTACACTTAAACGTTTCCTCCTGAGGCATTTCTAGAACTGCTTCCATGAAATCTGCAGGTATGCGTCCTTTGTGCTCCTAGTGAGGAGGAATTGAAAGTGTCAGGAATGGCTTGGCTTCCAAGTATTGATCAGACGTTTGCGCAAAATGGTTGCCTAATAGTCATCTCTAGTTCCCTATCAACCCCTCGCATCCTAGTCTCTTGCCATTACAGATTACATGCTGTGATCGTTCAGTTGTTGAAGTATCCTTCCAATAGCAAAGTTGGGAAATACTCTGAAGACATTTTGATATAACAGACTTCATTTTCGGGTCCTCTCTTTGTATGCTTTAAAACTTGATATACCAACCTAACTAGAGAGCACATGCATTCCCCGTGCAGGTTTTTTTTCCCTTTGCTGGGTAGCTTTACCCTTGGGCACATGCTAAGGAACAGTGCTGAGCCCAGCCCGTGCTCCTGCAGTGGGTAAGGGACCACCAGGACTCACAAGCCCTCCCTGCCTGGAACAGACTTCTGCAGGTCTAGTCTAATAAGACAGCTGGACCCCTACCTGTCCTACTGGGGGAGTGACTTGCTAATGCTGTTTCCGAGAAGCCCAAATTTTGTATTCCTTACTCCCTTTGAGGTCAGTGATGAAAAACTGTCACTTTAGGGCAGATTTATGGCACTATTAATAACAGTAGTGTGGAATACCTATAAATTAAAGATAGGAATACTCATTTTTTTTCAAAAGCAAAGGTAATCTTTTTTCCCTAGAGAACCTACATCTCCATTTTCCCTGTGTGTTTGTCAGGAAGCTCAGGAAGTTTGCAGTGCATAGAATTATGATGCATCCCCCTGTAAACCAAACTGTATCTGCATTTTTGTCACTGTGGTTATGTCACCATTGATGAAGCTAATGGTTTAGTAGGAGAATTAAGCATGTGTCAATTTGTGCATCGTCTTAACAAACGCCTATTCAGAGATAACACCATTTTCCTCTGTACTGCTTTTTTTCTTGCCCATAGGCACTGCTAGTTCTATTTGGGACACCAGAATAATGTTAATAACTTTTCTGTAAGTCAGTCTGACAGCACCATTGTCACATTAATTCATCTGTGTGCTACATTTGGGGCATGCATTACAGGGAAGATGGTTCACAAATCCGTCATTGGTGAACCTGTCATCTCCAGGCACAACTGTTCTGCTTCTCAAATGAAACTGAGATTCGTTCCTGGGATTTATCAGGCCACTCATGTGGTCTCACTGATTTTAGTGGGATCATGTTCCTTCTGAGTTCGCTCTGACATTGTGAAAGGAGAGAGTTGTCTCCCAGGTGTCTTCACCCAGGTCCCACTTCTCCGAGTCTGAGCACTATTGCAGTGTTTTGGTAAATGCCCGTTAATCATACTTCTCTCCAGGCAACAGTCTGCGCTCCATCATGAGTGTGTAACTGGAGCAGCTACAGTTTTGGATGTGTATTTGCAGTTTTGCTATTCCAGACCAAGTGAAAGAAAAGTCTGGTCCATACTGTGTGACTTGAGGTGGTATTTTATTGTAGAGCAGGACGATGTCTTTATTCTGCTAATGGCATGAAGGCTGGATAATGATCCATTAGCACAAAGTCCAGTAATCCATGAACGGCTATTGAGTGATGGGTCTTTAAAGTGATAATTGTCTAAAGTAGAAGACATAATTAGCAGGAATTCTAGACCAGAAAGATTCTATGGCTTAATTTATTTGTCTTTCATTCATGACCAGACAAGATTAATTATTTTTCCCGACAGAATCCTTCAGGGCTTCCCATTTGTCTCTTCAACCTACGCAAGACACTGCAGTGACAGTTACTTTCACTCTGAGTATATGGAGGGAGCTGAAGTCCCTGCTGGACAGTGACAGAGGTGGCAGTTCCCAACAGCATGATGTAAGGAGACGTGTGCGTGTCCTCAGGAATTAGCATGTTGCTCCTGATGCTTGAGAGAAGTTGGTTTCCTATGGGATTGTGCTGATAAAAGGCTCACTGATAGATAAAAGGGTTGATGAAGCTTTTTAGAGATTTGCTTTTTTCCAGTGAGCCTTCTGATCCTGTAGGTCCTGACAAAGGCCAGCGGGATGGGTGGGCGTGAGCGGGCTGGGTGCTTGCCCCCGTTCCTGATGGCAGCCTTGCAGTTAAGATTGACCCATCCTCCTTAGCAACTTGGACTGAGCAGTGAACTTTGGGCTTTGTGTGACTAAGCGAATGCCAAGCAACTAAATTGGGACTTACCTGTGTCTGAGACCATATTTTCTCCAGTAGACATAAGGAAATTGTAATTGTTTAAAACTTTTTTACACTGCTGGGAAATTAGGAAAGAAAATCTAATATGAACTCTTATGTGGGAAGGGTACTGTCTGTTAGCAGGGAAGGTACTGCGATCCAACCCCTTGTGATTTGTTGACATCTCAGTGTTTTTGTTGTATGTGTCCAGGTCTAGTGTCTATTCAATCTAATTTACACAGTGTTTTCATTATTTTTTTGTAGTTATTACTATTATAGTTTCATATTCTGACATTGAAAGCATGGCTCATAAGGGAGAAAGCACACAGAGCCATTGATTAGCTTATATTTCTGCATTTATGAATGCTAATATTCTGTAATCATTAAACAGAAAGAAGCTGTGACATGTTTAGCAAATGGCTGATTTTGTCCCAGCAGTTCTGAAAGTAGCTGTTCGTACTTACTAGAGTCAGTTACTTAAAGCCAATTATCTTTTCTTCTTAAGTTCTCTCAGAAATACAAACCTTTTGTTTACATTGCGTTTCCATAATTGTAATTAATTGTCTCTCTTAGTTTCTAATTTTATCTTCTGGCCTCTCCACCTCTTTCCAGACCTGTGTTAATAGGGACTTGGCCACTATTGGTAGGATGTCACGTTAATTCAGCCTTGCTCTTATTATCTAAACTGCACTCTTTCGTTCAGAGCAATGGACCAATTCAGTTGTATCAGGCTTGTCTGGAAGGTTACATTACAGCGGCACGGTTATTATCTGTAATTGAACCTGTAATCTGGAAGAACTGTTACACCTCAGGTGCAAGCCAGCCAGATAAAAATATCCCACTGCATCAGTTGGGGTTCTTAAAAAGCATAGGAACATCTTTCTCCATAGAGACTTCAGGACTGGAATTGTCTACAGAAGCACACAGTATGAACTTTGCTACTCAACTGTGTTCATCTCTGGCATTTCTTTTTTACCCTTCTGGGACCTGTGTTGCTTTAAGAACCTAAATAGATGGTATTCCATTTGTTCACCTCCAGCTGAGGTGTTTAAATGCAAGAAACTCTTGTGGACAGCGTAAATAAGAATGCTGAAGCTCTGTGTTTATTTGGAGTAGTTTAAACATCTTGTTTTGTGGTAAACCAAACAAACAACACCCTCCCCCCCCGCAACAAACAGAAAAAAACCTCCCAAAAAACCCAATACCCAGCCCAAAACCCCAAACCAACCAACAACAAAAAAACCCTCCAAACCGCCAAAGCAACCCACCAAAAAAACAACCAAAGGAAAAAAACCCAAAACCCCATCTTAGAGTAGAAACACCCAAATGAGACTGCAGCCCTGCAGGTATAACCTGTTGGAGTGCGTGGTGCTTCTGTGTGAATGTCAAAACCTCACTTGGAAGACAAGCAGCGAATGCTTCCGCTCCAATGCGGGAGACCATCAGCTGCAAGCGAGGAGGTGGTGTAGGACAAAGCATATAAGACAGGGCAACAGGAGGACAGTACCTTGCTTGTGTGATGCATTTGTTGAAGGCAGATGCAATTTTGAGTGTTGTGGATTAAGATGAAGGTGTTAGTGCTGTGAGGCCCAGCCTAATGCAGTTCTGGTCAGCAGTACTTGAGCAAGGGGAGCTTGGGAACAGGCAGAGAAAAGGACTACAGAAGTGGAGACGAGATGAGTCTGGTTTGTTAGCTTGGAAAATCAAAGACTGAGAGGGGATGTGACTGCTGACTATGAATGCATTGCGAAGGGAGAGCTCAGGGAAGAAAAGGCTTATTTGAACTGATGGGGAAAGTTGGAACAAAAGCAAATTGAAAATTGCCCATGAGTATATAAATAGACACAGGAGAAACTAATGTACTTTGTGGAGATTGGTAGTTTTGGAAAAATTGTTGAAGCATCCTATCTATACTCTTGCTCTGAAGTTGTAAATGTAATTAGTAGCAAGTAATATATTGACTAATGTGAATACAAGGCTGGAGAACTATTTAAGTGGTCCCAATTCAATTCTTGTGTCCAGTGAAGAGAAAATAAGAACAGTAGTGTTTCCCTTCCATTCTGGAAAATGTTACTGTACAGAGATCAGGCTGCTCTCTACCACACTATAATGATGGTTTGAGACACTCGCGTGTTAGGCAAGAAAAAGTATTGATACGTAACCGTGTGCCTTTCCACAGGGCTTTAATGGGTTGTCTTTGAGTAATGAGTGAACATTCATACGTGTAATGCTGAAGTACTCTATGCATCAA